GAAGGCTATCTTAACCGTCTTGGAGGCATCTTGAAGGCTATCTTTGGCCATCTTGAGTGAAACATTGGGGAATTGTGCTCCTTAAAATCCTTTCCGGGTGGCCGGCGGGACGGGCCGAAGCCCCAGGGGGAGTTCTTTTGGAAAAGAACCAAAACCAAAACCGAGAGGTTTTGGCACGCTAGGCACCCCTGCGATGAATCGACATGGGGGCGGCGGATCGAAGACGCCTACGGCGAATCACCGCCACCCCCTGCCTTTTTGGAAGCGCCTAAGTGGCCGAACGTTGAGGCCAGAACTGCCACGCTATCGGACCATGTGTTCCCCGAATCGGTTTGGAAAGCCTCTGGGGAACACGTGGGCATCTTGAAGGTAATCTTGGCCGCTTGGAGGCCATTTTGACCCTTTCGGGCCTTCTTGGAGGACGTCTTGGAGGCCTCTTGGGCGATCTTTGGGGGCTCTTGGGCCGTCTGGGGCCGTCGGAAGCCGAACAAAAAGCAAATGCCTCAATCCTTCACAAACTAATGGGAAATCCAGGATTTTGGCCTTTTCGGGCCTTCCTGGCGGCCCTCTTGGAGGCCTCTTGGGCTGTCTTGGGCCAGCTTCGAGCCAATTTCAGCCATCTTGGTGGGCTCCTGGCCCGTCTGACGCCGTCGGAAGCCGTTTGGGGGGCCTTTCTTGGCCGTCTTGGGACCCTCTTGGGGTGCTCCAGGGCCGTCTTAGAGGCCATCTTGGGCGTCTTGGAGGCCTCTTGGGCCGTCTTGGGGGCCTCTTGGGGCCGTCTTGGGGGCCTCTCGGGCCGTTCTGGGGCCATCTTGGAGACATCTTGGGCGATCTTTGGGCGATCTTTGGGGGCTCGTGGGGCGTATCGGGCCGTCGGAAGGCCGAAAAGAAGCGAATGTCAAAATCCTTTACAAAACTATGGAAAATCAAAGATTTTGGCCTTTTCGGGCTTTCCTGGAGCCCTTCTTGGAGGCCTCTTGGGCCGTCTTGGACCAGCTTCGAGCCAATTTCGGCCATCTTGGTGGGCTCCTGGCCCGTCTGACGCCGTCGGAAGCCGTTTGGGGAGCCTTTCTTGGCCGTCTTGGGACCCTCTTGGGGTGCTCCAGGGCCGTCTTAGAGGCCATCTTGGGCGTCTTGGAGGCATCTTCGGTCGTCTTTGTGCCTTCTTGGGGCCGCCTTGGGGGCCTCTTGGGCAGTCCTGAGGCCATCTTGGAGGCCTCTTGGGCGCTGTGGGGGCGATCTTTGGGGGCCTCTTGGGCCGTCTTGGGCCATTTTAGTGCCATCTTCGGCCGTCTTGGTGGGCCCCTGGCCGGTCCAACGCCGTCGGAAGCCGTTTGGGGGCTTGGAGGCCTCTTGGGTCGTCTTTGTGCCCTCTTGGGGCCGTCTTGGGTCCTCTTGGGCAGTCCTGAGGCCATCTTGGAGGCCTCTTGGGCGCTGTGGGGGCGATCTTGGGAGCCTCTTGGGCCGTCTTGGGTCGTCGGAAAGCCGAGAAGAAGCGAATGCCAAGATCCTTCAAACGCCCAAGGAAAATCAATGATTTTGGCCTCTTCGGGCCCTCCTGGAGGACCTCTTGGAGGCCTCTTGGGCCGTCTTGGAGGCTTCTTGAGCGAACTTGGAGGTATCTTGGACTCTCTTAGGCCGTCTTGGAGGCCGTCTTGGACCCTTTTGGGCGGACTTGGAGGCCATCTTGGAGGCCATCTTGGAGGCCATCTTGAGCCGTTTTGGAGGATTGCGAAGGCCTGACGGCCGGTGCCGCCGACCCTGTTCGCAATGCGCAGCAAGAGATTACGAGGTTGCTCAAGGTCGGCTTGGCTGGAGCCCAGGGGAAGAGGAGTCCCAGGGGGGGGCGTCGTATCTGACCCGGGGGGGGGGTCGCTACCCCCCCCCCCCTCCCGGCGGGGGAGGGATCAAAGGGAAGGGGCTTCCCTTCGACTCAATTACGAGGTTGCTCAAGGTCGGCTTGGCTGGAGCCCAGGGGAAGAGGAGTCCCAGGGGGGGCGTCGTATCTGACCCGGGGGGGGGGTCGACACCCCCCCCCCCTCCCGGCGGGGGAGGGATCAAAGGGAAGGGGCTTCCCTTCGACTCAATTACGAGGTTGCTCAAGGTCGGCTTGGCTGGAGCCCAGGGGAAGAGGAGTCCCAGGGGGGGGCGTCGTATCTGACCCGGGGGGGGGGTCGACACCCCCCCCCCTCCCGGCGGGGGAGGGATCAAAGGGAAGGGGCTTCCCTTCGACTCAATTACGAGGTTGCTCAAGGTCGGCTTGGCTGGAGCCCAGGGGAAGAGGAGTCCCAGGGGGGGGCGTCGTATCTGACCCGGGGGGGGGGTCGACACCCCCCCCCCCTCCCGGCGGGGGAGGGATCAAAGGGAAGGGGCTTCCCTTCGACTCAATTACGAGGTTGCTCAAGGTCGGCTTGGCTGGAGCCCAGGGGAAGAGGAGTCCCAGGGGGGGGCGTCGTATCTGACCCGGGGGGGGGGTCGACACCCCCCCCCCCTCCCGGCGGGGGAGGGATCAAAGGGAAGGGGCTTCCCTTCGACTCAATTACGAGGTTGCTCAAGGTCGGCTTGGCTGGAGCCCAGGGGTTGCTCAAGGTCGGCTTGGCTGGAGCCCAGGGGAAGAGTCCCAGGGGGGGGCGTCGTATCTGACCCGGGGGGGGTCGCTACCCCCCCCCCCCTCCCGGCGGGGGAGGGATCAAAGGGAAGGAACTTCCCTTCGACTCAATTACGAGGTTGCTCAAGGTCGGCTTGGCTGGAGCCCAGGGGAAGAGGTCTCCCAGGGAAAGGGAAGGACAGAGACGACGAGTACAAAGAATGACGGAGATGACGGCTCGAACGGAAAAGCCCCTCACACATGCCGACAGGGTCGGCGGATTTGTTTCCGGGATTGAGCCCCCGGGCAATCCTCCCGGCACCCCGGCGGAACGGGCCGAAGCCCCAGGGGGAGTTCTTTTGGAAAAAGAACCCAAACCAAAACCGAAAGGGTCTAGCACGCCGGTCACCCCTGTGGCAAGCCAATAGGAACACCGAAATCATCTAGCACGCCAGGCACCCCTGTTGCAAGCAACAGGGGTCGGCGGATGCAGTGGCCTTCGGCCCACCCCTGGGCGGCCAAGCGCGAGGCGTGGGCCCGGGGGCGAACGCACCCGCTGGCACGAGGCGCCGCGACCACTCGCGACGGCGAGCGCATCGGGCACTGCCGGTGGCTCTGCCTCACTCGGGTCGGGCGAAAGGGGGGGGTCGGGAAAGGGGGGGTTACGAAATCTGCTGCATGCAGCTGGTTTCGGCCCGGCGCGCCGGGCCCATTCCTCGATACGTGGGCGCCTCCCGGCGCCGAAAGGCGCGAGCTGATTCTCACCCCCCCCCTTTGCTATCCCCCCCTTTCGCCCGGCCCGACTCATGGTCGTTCTGCAGTTCGTCTCACGGCCAACGTGTTGTCGGGATGTTCTGCTCTGCATGTCGTAGCGGCGCTGGCCGGTCCTTGACGCAGTTCTTGCAGGCTGTGCTTCGTCAAGCTCTTGCTTTCGCGCGTCTTCCCCGCAGGTGCCACGCTATTCTGCATAGTTTGCGTAGTCATGCGTGCACCCAGGAGCCCTCTGATCTCTGACCATCCAAAAAACACCTTCGGCCCATCCCGCCACCGTGCTGGTAATGTGGGCTCGAGTCACCTTGGATGCCTCTTGGGATCTCTCAGGGTACCTCTTGGGAGCCCCTCGTGGCCTCTTGAGGGCGTTTTGGGGGCCTCTCGGAGGCCTTCTGAGGTCTCTTGGACGCCTCTTGGACGCCTCAGGGGGCTTCGTGGCGGTCTCGGGTGCCATGAGATGGTTCCTGGGGCCAGTGCGAGGCGGAGACGATTTGCGCGGCCACCACAGCAGAGACTATTGACGAAGTGTGTCGTTGAGGTTGGCCTGTACGATCTCCCCCGGCGGCGGAGTGGCCACCAGCGAGGCGGTGACAATTTGAGCGGCCACCACAGCAGGGACGACGCCAGCCCCAACGCAGGGACGACGCCAGCTCCAAAACCCGCCCGACCCTGGCCCAGACAGAGAGCATGCAGGCCTCGAGCGTTGAGCTCCTCCTGAAACGTGCTGCATTTGCGATGCGCCAGCGATGGCGCAGAGAGAGGGAAGTCATCCCCCGAGGACGTTGCCACGGAAGCGAGTGCTGACAGTTTGCAAGGCAACATTGCATCGCGCCTGCTGGCCATCCAGAAAGAGGCTTCTCTTTTTGGCGAAAGAGACACCAGCTCGAGGGAAGGATTGGCCGCGGTTCCGAAGCGGGTTGGGGGCCACCTCCGTTGAAGCTCGCCGACGGCGTCTCGTTGTTTCTGGCCGTAGTGTGGCGGAGAGGAGCACCCTCTCTAAATGTCAGAGGTGTCGACAGTCTTTTCTGAGGAAAGAGCTTTGCTCCAGTTTGGGCCCCGCCCATGTGCCCCCCTTTCCTCCTGCGCCCAGGTTGAGGGGACTTGGGGGGCCGCCAGGAAGTGGCGGCGGGGGCGGCTGGGCCTCGCCTTGACATCGGCGAGGTGCAAGAGCTGCGGCGGCCAGCGGACCATCCGCTGTCCTCTCTTGTGCACGGAGCCACGTTTATGACATAGTGAGGGGAGCGCGGTTTCGCACGATTTGTGGCGCGCACGGCGCGGACGGCGGGCGCAGGCTCGGAGTTGAATGTGCGTGCAGGGCGCGAGATGATAGGAGCGAAGCTCCCCCTTCGGCGAAGGGCGGTGAGGCCCTCTCTTGTCTCGTTCGGGGTCTGGCCCCGAGGTCGGGCAGGTCCTTCCCCGGTGCGCGACCAAGTGCGTTCATGCGCCCAGGCTTGCTCTTGGTCATCGCCATTTTTACAAAACCTAGAATACATCATCTCCTCCTCCTCCTTTTCTTCTCCCTCCTCCTCCTCCTCCCCCTCCTCCTCCTCCTCCCTCTTCCTTTTCGCCCCTGTTCCTTTCCCCGCCCTCCCCCCGTCCTCCTTGCTCCTGTGGGCTCGGTGGGCTGGCGGCCGCTGTCCAGGAGTTCTGCGCGCAGGAGGTGGACCCCATGGCCACTGAGGCCGCGCCTCCCGCCTGCTGCTGCTCTTTCTCCATCGCCTCCATCCACCCCTCCCTCCGTCCCTCCCTCCTCCTCCTTGCTCCTCCTGCTGCTTCTCCCTGTTGGTGTTCCTCCTCCCTCCTCTTCCTCAACTTCCTCCTCCTTGCTCTTCTGTGTTCCTCCTCGTCCTCCCTCCATCTTTTTGTCATTACTACATGTGCTAGATGGTTGATTCCTTGTTGCCTCATGTTTCGTACAAGCATATTCTTGTTTTCAGTATCAGTATCCTGCCGCTGTCTCACCTTGCTGCTGCTCCTCCTTCCCTCCTTTTCCTCTGCCCTTATTAGATTCGCCCCTTCTTCTCATCCTTTTTTAACCATTCTCTTCCGCCTCCCCCTCCGCATTGAGTTGCTCCCGGCTTCGTCCAGTCTGGCCGTGCACTTGTAGTTTATCCAGGATGAGTGCGAAGAGGAAGGAGAACGAAGGAGGAGAACAACGGAGAAGAGGGAGGACGATTTGTGACCCGTGTAAACACAGGGTGCGTCAGCGATGCTGCAATACACCCCCTCTCCCCAAGTCGCATCATTATGAGTTCGTGCAAGCGGGCATCTTCAGTCCGGGCCCAACCCTCTTAAAAGACGAGAACCCGATGAGCCTGCCATTGAAGCGGGAGTCTTGGTTAGTAGACAGACCATGTCGCATTCGTGGAGTTATTACACAGTGTTGTATTCTCCGATTTTGCAGGGAGGTTTTTAAGCGCCACGTTTGTCAGAAGTGTTGCTTTCTCTTCCTCCTCATTGCTCTTGTTTCTCCACCGCATAATTACGCGTGTCCTCCTGTCTATTGAAAACATGTTTTTGGGGGGTCCTGTGTGCAGGCGTCCGTATGGTGGCCCCTTGCTCCGAATGCGGGGCCTCATGAACGAGGAGGGAGAGGGACGAGGAGGATGAGGAGGAGGACGTAGTAGAAGGACACGGAAGGAGGATGACGTGCAGGGGGGTCAAGGAGAAGGGAGAGGAGGACGAGGTGAAGGAGGAGGAAGGATGAGGGAAAATGACGATGACGATGACGACGACGATGATGGTGATTGTGATGGTGATGATGATGATGATGCTGGTGATGGTAGTGATGATGATGCTGGTGATGATGGTGCTGATGATGGTGACGATGGTGATGGTGATGAAGATGATGCTGATGATGGTGGTGATGCTGGCGACAGCGACAGTGATAGTGGTGCTAATGATGTCATGACGACGACGGCGATGCTGTTGTTGATGATGTTGCTGGTGCTGCTGCTGATGATATTAATGTCGATGCTGATGATGCTGCAAATGTTGATGGTGGGGTGATGAGGATGCTGGTCATGTTGATGATGATGATGAAGATGATAATGATGATGATGATGATGATGAAGATGATGAGGAGGATGATGATGATGATGATGATGATGATGATGATGCTGATGACGATGCTGATGATGCTGATGGTGATGATGCTACCGCTGCTGCTGTTGATGGTGATGCTGATGATGGTTGTGATGGTGATGCTGGTGATGATGATGAGGTGGAGGAGAAAAACGGGGAGGGGGACTGACATTTGCTGCGCTCTGGCAATCCTGTTGCGCCCTGATCAACCTAACTGTTGCGCCCTGACAATCATGAATCGTTCCATAACGCCATTCCTGGTAGGGTAATCATAGACATTCGCAACATTATTGCATATGTGTCGAGCGAATGTTCACGGCGCAAGGGCGAGAGCCACATTTCGAAAACGAGCCGCCTTCAATCAGTGAAACGCTTGTAATCTTTAAGACGACTGTGCGCGGCGCTAAAGCGAGAGCCTCATATTCAACACGAACCGCCCTCCATCCGTGAAGCTCCTGCAACCTGTTAAGACGACTGTGCGGGGCGCTAAGGCGAGAGCCACAAGCTGAAAACCGCCCGCACTCCATATGTGGAACTGTTACCATCGCTTAAGCTTCAGGATCATGATGGGGAAGAACGCCTCAGGCGATCCGCCCGACCCGCCCTTCCGAGTGACTTCAGGCAGCGACAGGGAGGAGTTAGTTATGAGGAGAAATAATGGAAGAGGAGGAGGAGGAGAAGCAGGAGGAGGTGGAGGAAAAGATGAGGATGAGGAGTAGGAGGACGAGGAGGAGGGGGAGGTGGAAGAGGAGGAGTTGGAGGAGGAGGAGGAGGAGGAGGGGGAGGAGGAGGAGGATGGGCGAGGAGCGAGGAGGGCGTGGAAGGAGGAGTAAGGGCAAAGGAGGAAGGGCATGCCCTTTTTGCAAGTCTGGCCGCGCGGTCCACTTGGGCGGCGCCAGGTGTTCGCTTGCAGCCAGACTCAGGGGCAGAAAGCGTGCCAGCGCCCGACGGCCGCTGGTCAGGAGGGGAAAAAACACACAGACACAATTAATCGTCGCTTCCCCAGAAAATATTGGAAAATATGGGAATTGGGGGGGAAGACAAAAACCCAGAAAATATGGGAAAATATTGGGAATCCTGTTATTTGTGTGTATTTATTTGTGTGTCCCAGGGCCCCTTCAGCTGGCAAGAGAGCACTCGAGAAAGCTCGCCCGGGACCTTCCTCTTCCGAGTCGGGACGCCGGGCCGGACGAGTCCAGGCCGCGCCTGGCCCCGGCATCTGAGCCAGACTTCGGCCCTCGCGCGGGGCTGCTCCCGGGGGAACACAGTCGGGGCCCTGAAGAAGGAACCCTTTTCGTTGGGGAGGGGCTCCGTGTTCCTTCGTTGTTTCGCAGCTTGCCCTGGATTTTCCTTAGGTTTTCGATACGAAATCGAAGTTCAACTCATGGAAAATAGGGGCCTCGTTGCTTATTTAGGGTTCCTTAGGTCAACGCCCCGACGGTAACAGCACGGGGAGGCGCAGGGATGGGCACCCGGCCGAGGCCGACCAGCTGCAGATTGTGGCCCTGTCCACCCACTTCGGAGTGCCCGTCAACGTCGTCTACCTCGACCGGTCCCTTGGCATCGCTCGGACGTGTGCATTTTTCCTTCGGCGAGGACCATCGAGGAGCATCCTTGATCATTTGGCGAAAAAACCACGCACGAAACCGAAAAAAACTCAGGGAATGGACGTCCGAGCGATGGCCAGGTCCGCGCAAAGTGCAGGGAGGCGGCAGGGCTGGCTGTTGCCAGACGTGCCACTGGCCCGGGGCGCCCCCCAGGATTCTCGGGGGGGGGGGGGGCGACGGCCTCCAGAGCACCCTTCTCGAGGCCCTGGGGGCCTCAGGGGTTCCAACATGGAGCGGAAGGCTGGGGGCCCCCTTGGGCCAGGGGCACTTCTGGCAACACACTCGACGGGGAGGACGGGAGTGGTGGACGGGAGTGTTTCCCAGATGGGGTTGGAGGGCGGAGGAGTGAGCGGGAGACCGAGGGATGGAGGGAGGAGGAATGGACGGAGACGGAGGCAGGTGGAGAGGAAGAAGAGCGAGGACAACGAGTTCTTTGTACGGGTGTGCGGATCTCATCTGTGCGCCAGCGCATTCGTCCCCCCCAGTGGGGAAGAAGTGTGCTGATCACTGACTGTGGTCTTCGGCCTCACAGTATTCCTCAGGGCGAACTCCATTTGCTTCTCGCGCAAGTGACCAAGACAGCTCAACCAATTCTATCGTGTATCCTACAACGTTGTGAGAGCTGGGCAGCACTAGCAGCCATCGTCACTGCTTCGTTTTCCGACCGGCCGCATATCGACATGAGCGAAGTACCTGCAATTCGCGCAGAGGGAGCACTGCAGGTGAGGCCATGCTCTGTGTAATGTCACCTACTTTCGTCGAGCTGCTGCGAGAGAGGCAGGCGGTAACAGCAGTCCGCATGAATCTTTTGAAGTCGATCACTTGTGCATTGATGTGGGCAGCGTCCCGGATCTAGTGTACACGTCGGTAGCATGGCCTTCCTGCGGCACCCGTCAGATTCACAGTACGCTTCGCATTCTCCCCACCACCTCTCTTGGTCTTCGTCGCCGAGCAGCCCCGACAGGTCGGAGGGCGAAGTGGCGGCGGAGCATCTCTTCAAGGAGGGCAGCGAGGGCATGAGGCGCCGACGCGTGCGCCAGCAATTCTGTGGGAGCGGTCCGAGCACGGCGGTGATGGCATCGTTCTGCCACGGGCCACTGGCAATCGGTTTTCCCTGTGTGGGCTCCAGCCCCGGGTTCTCTTCGTGTCGGTGGGTCTTTGGCCCCGTACTAGCAGAGTGTCGAGCAGTAGGCATCTGAGTTCGATGTACCGACATACGTGTGCGGGGGTGGGGGGTCTCCAACATGCGTCTCGGCTTGCAGACGTTCGTCACACCGAGCCCCCCCATGGGGGAATCCAATCTCTAGTCACCATATTCTTCACATGTGGAAATACGTGAGCGGAGGGGGGAGTCCAATTTGTGTCTGGAGTGTGTGTGTGTGTGTGTGTGTGTGTCTGTGTCTGTGTCTGTGTCTGTGTCTGTGTCTGTGTCTGTGTCTGTGTCTGTGTCTGTGTCTGGTGTGTGTGTGAGTGTAAGTGTGTGTGTGTGTGTGTGTGTGTGTGGGTGTGTGTGTGTGTGGGTGGGTGGGTGGGTGGTGGGTGGGGGGGGGGGGGGGGGGGGGGGGGTGGGTGGGGGGGGGGGAGGGGGGGGGGGAGGGGGGGTGGGTGGGTGGTAGGTGGGTGGGGGGGGGGTGGGCGGGGCACGTGTTTTCACGCGTGCACGGCCTCCGCGGCGGGAATTGCCCATCTTCTGGTCGGCTGATTTTTGTTTACGTAGAACTGCATGTGCGGAGGGGACGGCCCAAAAAAGCGCCTGGCGCGTGCGCGCGGGGCACGTGCTCTCACGCTTCCACGGTCCCCGGGGGGGGTCCTTTTCCTAGTCGTCGGACTCTTTACATGTGAAGACACGTGAGCGGAGGGAGGGACCCAGCATGTGCCTGGAGGGTGCGCGCGGGGCAGGTGGTTTCGCGTATCCACGGCCCCGAAGGGGGGGGGGCTATGGTCTAGTCGTGGGATCATTTGCACGTGAACACACCTGCGCGGAGAGGGGGGACGAACATGCGCCTAGCGCGTGCGCGCGCGGGCACGTGTTCTCACGTGTCCACGGCCCCCAGGGAAGGCATCCAGCTTCTAGTCGGCGGACTCTTCACACTTGCCTTTTCACGTGTCTCCGACCACAACGGGTTCTCCCCCTGCTGGAGGGACACAACTTCTGGTCGGCGGTTCTTCGCATGCGAAACTATCTGCGTGGAGGGGGGGGAGGGCTCAACATGCGCCTGGCGCGCGCGCGGGGCACCTATTTTCACCGTCCACGGCCCCCGTTGGGGGGGGGGACGCGACTTCTAGTCGTCGGCTTCTTTGCGCGTGAAACCACGTGCGCAAGGATAGAGAAAGAGACAGAGAGAGAGGGGAGGCGGAGGAGGTGGAGGAGGAGGAGGAGGAGGAGGAGGAGTAGGAGGAGGAGGAGAGTAGACTCAAGACTCATCAACGATATTGAAGTACACCCTCCCTCCAAGATTACTCTTCACAGGCCCCTAGAAGAGGTAATTTCCACTGAGCGTGTTGCCCCGTTGGGGGACAACTGTGTGAACATCTTGAAGCGTAAATTCTATTAACGAGTGTGCGCGGTGCTAGGGCGAGAACCACTCTTTGAAAACTACCTGTTCTCAACCCGTGAAGCTCTCGCAATTGCTTGCACCGATTGTGCGCGGTGCTAAGTTGAGAGCCACATTTTGACACGGCACCGCCCTCAATACGTGAAACTCTTACCAATGGATATAACCAATATGCGCGGCGGTATGCATCTTGGGCTTTCTGAGACCCTCTTAGAGCCGTCTTGAGCCATCTTGCAGGGCTCGTTTCGATTCCTCCGATTCGATTCGATTCCAGTCCGATGGCCTCCGATTACGATTCGATTCGACTTCGGATTCCAATTTTGATTCCGATTCCTTAATGGAAGCGTACTAGCTTGTCGATTTCCTCCGATCCGACTTATCCCGACTCGGCTGCCGGTTTCCGCCGATCTGGTTCATTTCGATGGCCGATCCGACGTGTCGATTCGATTCTGGGCTCTCCTGATCTTGAATGCTCTGACCTCTCGCGAATACCCCCGTCCAGGTCCAGGGGAGGGGGTAGGGGAAGGGGTCAAGAGTCTCCCTCCCCGCCCGCAAGCCGTCTCGCTCACTCCCACCCGCCCTCCCAACACATGCGTAGCACCCGAGCCTGACCCGAGCCGCAGCATATGCAGCAGTCGATTTGGGATGGCCAGCTACAGGGGGCCAATCCGCCGCCGCCGCCGCCGCCGCCGCCGCCTTCGCCGCTGCCCGCCGCCGCCGCCGCCGCCCCGCCGCCGCCGTCGCCGCCGCTGTCCACCGCCGCCGCCGCCACCGCGCCGCCCGCCGCCGCCGCCGCCCCCGCTGCCAAATCGCCGCCGCCGCAGCCGCTGCCGCCGCAGCCGCTGCCGTCGCAGCCGCTGCCGTCGCCGCTGCAGCCGCCACCGCCGCCGCCACCGCCGCCGCCGCAGCCGCTCCTCCCGCCGCAGCCGCCGCCGCCGCCGCCAAGTGTACTCTGTATTGTTTTTCTGACAGGGATTGTGGGGGGAGGCCGCATCGGGTTCGCTGCGCATTCTCCGAATTTGGGGACAGAGTGTGTTTTGTATTGCTGTTTACAAGGGATGGTGGGGACAGAGTGTGCTTTGTATTGATTTTTTACAAAGGGATGCTGGGGGGGGCCGCATGGACCTGGGTTGGCTCCCAGTCGCCTGGGGGAGGGGGTGAATATTAATAGGGAACAGTGATCAACCCCTCCCCGAAGGGGAAGACGTGGGTTGTAAGACGAGCCTCCCTAGACCACCTACGCCCAGAGGGCTGGTGGGATTCCTCACCGGTTTCATGGATCCTTCAGGTTGTTTCCTGTCGGCGTCTCGGTACAAGGTTCTCACAATGTTCAAACACACGCTCAGTGTACGTGATCTTCTCCCCGATGGGACCGGGGGGGGCAGGGGGGCCATGTGGGTCCAAGATGGACCCAACACGGCCTGAGATGGTACCTAAACAGCTCAAGACGGCCCCAAACGCAATGTTGGTCAAACTTCGCCGACCTTGTACCATCTTGTGGGCCACCTCGAGTTGTCTTGGACCATCTTGGATCCATTTTGAGTGCAAATGGACCCTAGAACCCTCCTGGGGGGGGGTCCATATCCAAGGGGAGAGCGTGCGAGTGAGGGGAGGGGGGCAGGGGGAGGGGCAGCCCGGGCGTGGACCAGGCGAGTTGCGAAACCACCTGCGCACAGATGTGTAGTGGGATTTCGGAGTGAGATGGAGAGGGAGTGGTATCAAGCAGTTGTGAAGCGTCCTGGCTCGCCTATAGGCCCACCAAATTATGCTCTGAGATTGTGGTCTGCACGACATGTTCTAGAACATTTCTGGTTGAGACTGTCTTGTTGTACACTTCGGGTGTATGTTCTAAGAGCATCGCTGTGGTTCTTAGAACACTTTTGGGTTCTAAGAACATTCCGTGGCAGGACAACAGGAATGCCAGGACGGTCGGTGCCTGCTCAATGGCAAGGCTCCGGTTTGCGTGCAGACAGCCCCCCCCAGGTAGCCCCGGCCGGCCTGCCCCCCGAGGAATGGGGACGGCCTCAACTC